CTCATTGTAGCAATCAATAAACTTCGACAGTTGCTTATTTGTCATTCCCATCTTCCAGATAGAATCATGGAGTCCCGTGAAGAAATATGCCCTTATTCCTTTTGAAACGCACGTACGAAACTGAGTAGACTCTATGCAAAAGGAGTTTTAGTAAAGAGACGTGCTCGCAGGTTCTGTCTTCTAATTCTTTAGGTCGAGAGAAGAATACTACTTCTTCCTACCGAAGGAAGCAGACGTGCAATCCAGCGACACATGTGCGGCAGGGCCATTAAGTATGCAGACCCCCGCATTACTGGTATTAATAATGCATGTCTCCCGACCATGGAGAAGCCCCTAATTGGTTTTTTATTTACACCGAAATGCTGCGCCATTATTAACCCAGGTCGCCTTTTCCGTCGTAATGCATGGGTTTCGAAACCAAAATATATTCCCTGAATCCTATAGGTCAGGAGTCCTATAAGACCCTATAGGGATCCTATAGGATGCTAAAGGATCCAGTAGTTTTTTCGTGTTTCAAAAACCTATAGGAAAGTCTATAGGTTTCCTATAAGAAATATCTATAGGTATCCTATAGGACATTTCCGTAAGGGATCTCAACCTGCAAAAGATGTAAACAGTGTCATTACACGCGGACATGCAATTCCCATTCAAGTCGAATTGTTTATGTTCACTGAATCTCTAGCTGAGTTTATGCGCAGAAAGAAATATGCTGAAGTTCGGTTCCAAATTGGTGGACCAAATTTTATACTGGGCTTTCCAATGGTCACGGTTTGAAAAATAAAAATGAAAATATGCACCTTCTTCTGTTTCAATGTTTATTGCTAAAAAAAAAATCAGTTTCAATGTTTCTATTCTGTGATTTCTATTCTGAAATCTGAATGCTTCGAAATGCCCTAAAAATTGACAAGTTTCGTAACTCTTCGAAAGAACGGATGGCCAACTAAATGCTTGGTTCGTTTCCTCCTTGTACACGTTCTGAAAGATGAGTTAAAATACACGAGAGAGAACATGATCCAGTACGAGAATTCGAAGAATATATCAATTTACCCGGAAAGCGGATGTAAGTCTGGGGGAAGTGCACGCGGTGGGTGGTTTGGTGGCGTTGGGCGTTTCAGCAGGAAGGGATGTCGCAGTTGTCCGTGGGGGGTTTCTTTCCAGCTCCGTTGTAGCACCAAGGGCCTTTTGGGTCCGAGGTTGGGTTCCGGCAGAAGTTGTGAGAAGGGTGTAAGTCGTCCGGGAAGTGATTTTTGAACGTTGAACCGTAATGGGACTTGAATTCTTGGCTGTTCGGGGTGTTGCTCATCCACGGCTGACACGGGTAGCCCGATTTCGTCGTGTTCTTCGTTCCAATGTATTCCACGCCGGTTTTGCTTGCTTGGCATTCGCTTGGGCCTAGAGAAATTTGGCAAAAAAAATTTGGCAAAAATCCAATTTGCGGAAATGGCAACAATTTAACTGCCAACACTCAAGTCGAAGAGGAAAACGCTGAACCAGCGCTCACTGATGCAGTTCCCTGAGACTCGAACGTCGCACGTTTTCCCGTCGCTCGCAGGACAGAAAGGAATGTCGCAGTACTCTGCTCTTGGCCCGGTGGGTAAGCTCAATAGACACATCGGACCGTGAGTACCGGGCTTGATGCTCCGGCAAAAGTTATGGCTTCCATCTATTTCGTCCGAGAATGAGGACAGAAAAAAAGACACAATTTCCGCAGCCGTACTAGACAGCCAATACACGCACGGAAACCCCGAAATGGTCACGTTCCGACGGCCAACGTATTCTCCCCCCTTTCCCGTCAGCTTGCATTCCGGCGGATCTGGAAGACGATGAAAGCGAATATTAAATGCGAATTAAAAAATTCGGTGAAATTCAATACGTACTGGGGTCACGGCAGAACGGTACGTCGCAGTACTCCCACTCGATCGTCTGATCCGAGACGAAGCACCAGGGTCTCTCTCTGTAAAGAGCCGGATTCCGGCAGTAATTCATGTGGAACGATAGGTCGTGATTGAGGAAGTGATCTCCGAAGGTCGTCTGATTGTTGAAGAAGTCCCATGGCATTCGATGAGACTGGGACTCCCACGGGAGACAAGGTCTTCCGGTCTCGGTCTCGTTTTTCATTCCGAAGTATTCCTTCCCCTTCTCTGTCAGTCGGCATTCTGGATAATCCCCATCGCCTTTTTTAATTCTGAGGATGCCTTGTCCCGATCTGACGGCGCAGAAGGGGACGTCGCAGAATTCTCGGTCGCCGTCTTCGTTGTAGCACCAGGGAGCCGCGTCGCCGTTCGGGTTGCGGCAGTAGTCGTGGTCCTCGGCGATGGGCTCGTCCGGGAAGCCAGGGCGGCAGCAGTCGAGTTTCTCGCGAAGTTTCGGTTTTTCCCACCGTTGGCATGGGACGCCCGCGTGGGTGACCCGTTTCCTGCCGATGTATTCGCCGCCTTGTTGGGCCGCCTTGCACTCTGGGGGATCTGTGGTGAATCGACCGAGATAATTCATTTCGAGAAGACCAGATTTGCGCCGATGACAACACGTTCATGGTAATTTTTTCCGGACCAAAAAACTCTGCGTGGAAAATAGCAAGACCAGGTAATCGAACGAGAAATTTGAAGAAGTTCAGAAAGTTGTATGTTTTGGGGCGATTTGGGGCAAAGTGGGGCGAGTTCGGAAAGGAATTCTGAATTGCAATTCGCGCCTACTTTTCCCGCTGCTTGGAATGCAAATAAGGATTTTTCGGTGGAAAAACACTCCCGAAAACAAGCGGCTGATACACGAAATGAGAATGGAAAATTATTTTTGTTTCATGGTGACACGCTTACAGTGGTTGACCCCCCCCCCCCCCCTTACGTAGAATTTATATATTCTTAAGCATTTAGGAAAAAAGATGGGTGCCGTGAAAGTTTCTAACATGATTAGCATGAAAAATGAGAGATGGCCCTAAATGTTTGAAACAGTAGGAAAATCAGCCTATTTCCATTATAGAGGATTCGTTCTCCGCATGTATGAAAAAATATGTGTCTATGAAATATAAAAGTAAAAATAAAAATTCCACATGAATTAGCACGTTCATATTTCCATGGAAAATTTAGCTTCACTTGGAAAATAAACATTGAAGAAGAGGAAAGGCTGCGTGAATTACTGGTATCGGTGCACATGGGGATATCGCAGTATTCCCATTGAACTTCATGGTCAGAAACGAAACACCAGGGCCTTTCCCTCCAGGAAGGGTTTCGACAGTAGTTCTTGTGGGACCAGGAATCCAAGTTGATGAAGTTGGAGTCGTAGGCGTCTTGGTTGAGGAAGTCTTTGGGTGTTCCGTAGGGATGGCTGCTCCATGGGAGGCACTCCTTGCCCGACTCGGTCGCCTTCGTCGTCCCGATGTATTCTCTGCCCTTCTTCGTCAGACGGCATTCTGGGTATTTGTGCATCTCGCCTGCGGATGATATGCCTTACACTCAGAGAAATCGAGAAATCGAAATGATTCATTTCTGTCATTTTCCGCATTTATTTTTATTCTTTTCAAGAGGAAAAAGCACCAATCAAATAGGCGATTCAAATGAATCTCTTCCCGACCATGCCGGATCACCTGAAAGGCGTCTGCAAAATGCCAAATGCGTCCATAGTTGATGCGAGGGGAAGTTTGAGTGGCTTTAACTCGTCCAACGCACGTCAACTTCAGTCTTCCACTTCATTGAGTTGAAGAAGCGCCCCTTCATAAGCCCTCAGGGCAATATAATGATTGACACGCAAGCGCGTGAGAGTGAGAAGAGAAAGAGAAAGAAACGCGATGGAGAGAAACGCCTCTTCGCCCTATCACCATCCCTCTGGCCCGTGCGAGTAGCTGGTTAGTCTCAAAGGGATTTTAATGCATAAAAACGCTTTTTCGAGTCCAGTTCCACGTGGTGTCTGTTTTTGGTTTATTGTACTGGTGGTGGGTGCGATACTCATACGATAGGCTAAGCTTTCATGCTTAAGAGCATAGGATATTCCCACAATAGGTTCGTCTGATATTCGTAGTTTATCGCCTTGAATGAATAGTTGCTTCCGAACCTTCTCTCAATCTTAATCGTTTCCCCTATTAAGATATCCCCCTTTGCATATTTCTCATTGAGCGTTTTAATGAACAAAATTACGCCTTCTCCGTTACCTTTGCATAAAGTCGCCTAAAGGAACGAATTTTTTTCCCCCCGAGGTGTAAAATATTACATGAATACATTTTTTAAAACAGATCTGAGTACGTTCATCATATATTACAACCGTGCGGGAGAATTTCGGAGGTGACAGTCAAGGGAAGTATAGGATCGAAACTTGTGCTCTCTCTTTTGGCGTCCTACAGGTCTGTTCTGACAAGCGAAATCCTTCGGAAAGAATTCCAAACCCCCCCCCCCCCCTATTTGGGGCAGGGGAGAAAGGATATGGTATGAAGAACGAGGCCGAAAGCCATCACATGCGAGACACATGCACACAGAATGAATTTGATGCATTTCAGTCCTGAAAGAGTCTTCCATGTGATGCATTTTAATCACATCAAGTTTTCGATTCGATTAAAATCAGATCACATCGACGGACAGATTTGTTCACGACCAAAAAGCGTCATTTTCATGCCGTGAATATTTTGTGTGCATTGCTGTCAAAGGGATCTACTGTAAGTCCTTCTTCGAGATTTCTCCCCTTTCACCTCCCAGACCCAGACTTTGAATGCCCTGGCTGGCCCGGCTGGTTTTCTCCCCTCATGATTATCATTACTATGTCATTACTATGTCTAGAACGTGTTCAATGAGCGTCACTCACGTGATTCTGATCGCCAAATGTACTTGACACCAAAATACGTTTGAAGCCCTTACACTGAACTGCATTTTCCTGGAAGGAGCTGCACCAAGAATCCGGGGAGGCCGAGCATCGAGCCGTGTGGATGGAGGAGCCATCGGAGAATCCTCTGGGATGCTCGCAGCGGAGAATCACCATCGCCCCCGGCGGCGCTGGGTATTCCCCGTTCCATTCCTCGTAGGACACTTTCGCGCTTGGGATCTTCGGGTGCTCGGTCAGGCACAGCCCTGGAGGGACTCAGTACCTCGTTTCAGTACCTATTCTTTGAATTCGCACAGAGACGATCTCTGAGATAATCATGACTCACTCTGGACGTAGGAGCTGTAATCGTTTCCTTCCAATAAGCCGCTTTTCCCATCGAGGACCAGCTGGCACGATCCGTCCGTTTCGCGGTAGTTGAAGGCGTAGCACGGTGGCTTCCGCTTCGCGCATTTCCTCCCGCAGAGTCCGAGTGTCCGTTCCCTCGTTGCGAGCGCGATATTTCCGTATCTCTGCCCGGGATGAGCGGCATAATGGGCGAGTGAGTCCGTCGAGGCCACACCGTGTAAGACGACGAGGACGAGCACCAATTCTCGTGCAAAAGAAGGGAAAGTTTCCATCGATACTGCCAACGGTAGGAATTACGAACCGCTGTCCCGTCGGTTCGGGACTAACATTGACCTTCGGCCGAATGCGAGAAGCGAAATCGCAATAGCTGCGTGCGCAACCCGAAATTTCCTTCCCCTTCCTTTCAACGGATAATCATTTATTCTCTTTCATATATTTCTGCTGGTTTCCATCCTAAAGATACTCACCCAAAGAATCTGCACAAAGTGCATTTTTGCTTTTAGCTGGTGGCAGTCATTTTTGCATCATATCGATTTTCTACAGCACATCTATTAATAATAAGAATAAGATAGGTACGGCTCACCCGTTCATCAATGTCGGCGTTTCCACATTCCGAGACATTTGAGAATGAGAATCTTCGATGAGAATTTCCATAGGTTTCTCCGAAGCATCATCGACGCACAAATACGACGATAGATATCGAATTTCTTCATCCGCCGCAAACTTGATTGATGATATTCCACTCGTGCTTCCTGCTGGTCGGTGGCTGCCCACGTCGAGGAAGTCGAGTCTGCGAGTGATTCATCGTCTAGTTTGAAGTATGGTCCTTTTCTGGCCTTTTCTGGCCTTTTGAAACCGGGAATTGGCCCCCCTCCTAGTCTTCGGGAAACGAGAGGAAAAGTGGAACCCGAAAAAGTCCAATGGGAATTCTTTAGGGATAAGGGTTTTCTGTTGGGACCTGGAAGTAATTCATAGGATCCCAGAGGTATTTCGGGTTTCTATACCCTAATGGATTCCTACACATTCCTAAAGAAACTCTACGATACTCCATAGAAAGGAATCACTATAAGACGTCAGGAAAAAAAATGAATGCGGGAACGCCGGGTTCGCAAAGAAACCCGAATCGATTCGAGACGCGGCCATTCATTCATCAAGTCGGCTCGGACTTGAAACCATTTCTCAACGGGCCCGCCGACCGCGACGTATTTGCTCGGCGTTCCGCGGTTCCCATCGGCTTGCGATCGATCGTCGCCGTCGGGTGATCCTGGAGCGTGCTCGTGTTTTTTGCGTCCTGCAGGGACTTCGTCCTGAAAAGTAGTTTGTCGCGAAAATTGCTACGATAAGGTTCCATGAAGTCAGAAGCAGTACACTTCCGTACCGTAATATCTTCTCGAAGGGACTGCCGAAAAAGTACGACTGGAAAAAAAAAAATTATTCCCACACTCGAATATCGCAAATGGAGTCCTTAGCGAGGATATGCGTTGCTCGACAAGCGAGGAATTCCACATTTGCTTAGAGTTTTTTTTTTTTAAATGGGATTCTCGAAAACGCTCCGGTGAAAACTCCTGCGATTTCGTCCGGCACATTCGAATTTTGGACTTCTCTCAAAAAATGTTTCACCTTTGACCCATGACGCTAGGACGTACCCTCGTCATTCGGGTCAAAGAGCCATTTTAGTGTCATGGCCATTTTAGTGTCAAAGAGCCATTTTAGTGTTATGGCCATTTTAGTGTTACCCGGTAAATTGCCACCTGGCGGCAGCTTCAAGAACGAACTTCAGCGAAACTGCAGGCCACCGTGAGACCCCCAACAATAATTCTGAGCCAAATTTCAAATCCCGCACCCTCGATTTTCTAGTTATTTCCTTCCTTGAGGGACGAAAATTACACGCGAAATTTACTATTAAAAAAATAAAAGTGAGCGAATGAACACGAGAAATATCGATCTGATCATATTTCAGCCGTATTCTAGGAACCGGCGGAGGAAAATAGTCGAAAGAACTGGAAATCATTGCAATGGAAATCATTCAACATGAAAACCACTGACGGGCACAGCTAAACAGATAGAACTAAAAAAAAATCATTGTAGGATGCTCACAGACAATAATCACCTAGTTTCAAATAGGTTTGATGGAATTAATATGCAATCTCATGTTAATTACTTCTCAATTTTCAGACGCCAATCGGCACCAGCACCATAGCAGCCAATGGGCACGACAATCGGCCATCGACCCATTCCTGGAAAGAACCAAGGCCCTCGAGAGTGGCCAGATGCGTGAAGGCCTTTTTCACCTGCCGTGGAAGTGAATGCACCTATAAAAGGCCTTGACTGCACCTATAAAAGGCCTTCACTGCACCTATAAAAAGCCGTGACTGCACCTATAAAAGGCCTTGGCTGCACCTGCTCACGTCGCCACGGTCCTCTCACCGCCTTCCACGTAGTACCACGGGCCGATATGGCCAGGGAGAATCGGTTATAGGCTCGTGGTCGAGTGCGCACGCAGAATAGGACAAGGAGTTTTGTTTCCTCCAATTACTTTCTTACGAGTGACTACAACGAGAGCAAGCTTAAAAAAAAAATCGGCTCGATCAAGTACAAATCAGTACCGAGCATCGTACATCTTGACTCGTAGGTCAAATCAAAATAGCCGGGAGAATTTCTTTGAAATCTCGGGAGGAAATGCTTCCGATGGGAAGAATGCAAATTTTTTTTTTCTTCCCGCAGTTGTGAAGTGGCTTCTACTTCTCCGGCAAGTAAGAAAGGACATCTGCTGGAACTTTCCAACTTTTTCCCTGGTGAATTGCCGTCATTCTCGAGCGAATTTATCGAGCGCGGAAACGAGTCGGAGTTTCCTGAATTGATCGAGCCAGCCCTTACGGAAATGTCCTATAAGAAACCTATAGTTATTTCTTATAGGAAACCTATAGACTTTCCTATAGGAGGGAACTCTATAGGTCCCAAACTGAACTCTAAGGGGCATATAGGATCTTACTGGATTCCTTTAGGTTCCTATAGGATTCCTATATATTCCTTTAGGAACATATAGGAATCCTATAAGACATTTTCGTAAGGGAGGAGACGCAGACCAAGCTGATGATATTTCCGTGTAGATGACAAAAACGACGAGGCGCGGCAAAAAGGGCTTCGCTGCTTTCGGGGGAAAGAGTCCAGGGCCGAGTAACAGAAGCGAAGCGGTGCCTCGCAGTACCGCTTTTTTTTTTCATTGGGGGAAAGACCAATTCAGATCTCCGTACGGAAAGACTGAACGCCGAACGCGAGGCAGAAAAGGGGAAATGGGCAAAGCTGAAGATGTGCAAGAAAGTTCTGCAGGATTCGAATCGACGATTCTGCTCCTATCGCTGTTTTTGCCTTTCGCGTTTCTTTCCTTTTCTGATGGTCCCGATTCTCACAATGTTATTTGACTCTGCGCCGTTTGCATAAGACAACTGTACGCGAGACGATGCATAGGCTGACGTGCAACGCATTCAAAAGAAGGGATACTTGGCTCCCAGTACGAGTTTCATGAAAGGCTAGTTTTTCTTCTGGTTACCCATTATAAATACAATTGCCAACAGTTGAATCATGAAACGAACTTTCTCCCCCTACGAACACACACACAACAGGCCCGCACCCTATCGAAGTGAGCTAAATCGCATTCCATCTGTGATATCACTACGCTACACGATTCACGTGTCTCAAGAAACTGCGCTCCCTCCTTCGCCGTGAGCGGCTTGAGCTGTCTCATATATGCATCTGGGGAAAGGACACACCACGAACGAAACCATGATGGACGAGCAGTCCTGGGAAGAATACTCCGGTTTGGTCGCGTCCTGCTTCCCCACGTATTCGCCTCCCTTTCTCGTCAGCTTGCATTCCGTCGTAACCAAACAAGAATAAATGCAAACACGAAATACGAGCGAGAATTCGGCTGAAAGATTTTATGGTACTCGTGGCAGAAAGGGGCATCGTAGTGCTCCTACTCGATTTCAGAGTCTTGGACGAAACACCATGATCTCTCTCCAGGATAGGTTTCGGCTGTAGTTCTTGTGGGACCAGGAATCCAAGTTGAAGTTCGAGAGGTGGGCGTCACGGTTGAGGAAGTCCCGCGTGTGTCTGTCGGGATGGCTGCTCCATGGGAGGCACTCCCTGCCCGACTCGGTCGCCTTCGTCGTCCCGATGTTTTCTCTGTCCTTCTTCGTCAGACGGCATTCTGGATATTTGTGCGTCTTCTCGCCGGCGGTTGTATGCTCTATTGCTGTGAATGTGTGCCGCTGTAAATCCTTCCTGAGGTTTCATCCCTATCACCTCCTAGACGGACATTTGAATGCACTGCCTGGTGTTGTTGGCTTCTCCCCTAATAGGGCCAAGTTCGTCCCACTTCTTCCATTCCATCGGTGATTATCGCCACGATTATGTGCCTTTCTGTGCTAGCAATAGAGTGCATATCTCGTCTTAATTTTTACAATGTTTTTATTTTTATTTCTCATCCATTTCGAGATTTCGCCTAGGAATCGCTTCTTTTGCTTTGATGAAGGTGTGTTGAGGTACACGAGCGCATTCTATCTAATATTATTGGGACAAGAAGTGATCTCGGGCAATTTTAGTTATAACTCAACGACGTCACCAACTTGGACGCATTTGCTCGGTAGGTACGTGATCAGTGAGTCCTGATGCTACCGTATTCACGAAAGCATCCGCAATCGCTTCTTCTCGCCTTCAGTCGTAAATAGTATACGTGCGTGAAACAACCATGTCTGGCAAGCGTGGGCCAAGGATGTAAAAGTTTCCCGTGCCACACATGGTCCAACAACCGAAAAGCCACAGAAACGCCGCAGCTGCCGCACATACGCCGACCCATGGCCACACATGCGCTGCTGATTGGGTGTTGGCCGACTGCTTCCCTTGGCTGAGGCGCTTTTAACTAATTCGTATTTTTGTATCGCCTTGATGTTAGTATCAAATACTTCGGTATTTTAAGACAGATACATTATGATCGAAATTGTAAAATACTTCCCTTAAAAAAATAATATTTTCACTTACAAATAGTAACTTTCATATGAATAATGTCCTCTTCTTGGCGTACAAAATATTTTTATATGCAAACATTTTCTTTCGTTACCGGGCCAATGCGCTGCATGAAATTCACCAGGACAGACATTTCAATCTCACACGAGCTTGAGACGAGAATTGAAAGAGCAGAAAGTGCTTTCTCGAGTCTTCTCGGCGACGAAGTCTCGTGAGGAGCTGAATCACGTCTCCCCGCATTCCTCGATCGTGGCCGGCTGGTCGGTCGGGATGACGGGCACCATTCGCACGTTCCCGGCGCCTTCCATCGCCTGCAAAACGATTCAGACAGGCTTTGTTGCTCATGCCACAATATTAAAAACGAATGAGAGTAGCAGTAAAACTCAGAAGAAATCAAATTAAAGAAAGGAAAAATCTGGAAATTGAAATTGAATTTAACAATGGGAAAAAAAATTAAAGACGTGCCCTTTTGAGAGCTATGATGGTGAGAACCCCGTCGGAGGAGAGGGAGGACTGGACGTCCTCGGGTCGGACGTCAGGAGGGAGGTGGTAGCGGCGCTGGAAGTGGCGGGAGACCCAGCCGTGCTCGTCCCGCTTCTCGTCGTGCTTCGCCTCGACGACCACCCAGTCGCCGGATGTCTTCACTTGGATCTCGGAGGGGGAGAAGTGCTGGACGTCCAGAGTCACCTGGATGGGGGGAGGGGGGGGGGGGGGTGGGGCTTGTGGTTAGGGGTCTGTATTGCAGTTTTAAGGGGGAAAGGGGGTCTCGTAGATAAAGGCAAGGTAAAATCAATGAGTTGAAGTCCTTTTCTCGCTTATTATCTCGAGTGAGACTCCAGAATCTCCCCATGGAATTGCTCGAGTACGATTCATCGTTATGGCCTCTATTGCAATACACTCTCACCGAGCTCGATGTCGTAAGGTGGAGACGAGAAACGGAAGGGGAAACGAGGCAATCTTACCTGGAATTTCTCCTCGTCGTGGACGACCTCGCTCATGCCCGACCTGCGCCGGCCGACATTGGACCGACGGGCCTGGTCGTGGATGGGGCGATGAAGGGTCCGGGCAAGGAGGTCGTCGTCGCTCAGCCCCAGGGCGAAGTGCTCGTCGAATACTCGGGAGGGGGGGCCGGCCGTTCGGTGAGGCCACGTGGCTTCGTGAAGTCTGGGGCGATGAGGGCACAAATTTCGTGCGTGGAGTTGATCCATATATCCGTTCACTGGACGATGGGCACGCGTTTGCAGGAGATGGATGGAAATGTACTTGGTAATGGTGAACAGCGGCACGATCGATAACTGAAACTACAAAGAAGGATGGGGATTCACTCTCAGGCCTGCAGCTGGAAACCCGTCCACAAGCGAAATCCACGCGTGTCTAGAATCGTGGATATCTAGAACTACTGCCTATTGCGCGTTAAGTCGCGAGTGCTTTGCGGGTCGGATGACACGGATTCGCTGCTTCCCGCACCCCCTTTCACAGCACTGCACGGCTCTGCCCGCGGGAACCCAAAAGTGGGCGGCGGGACGGACTCTACTCTCCCGACCAATCAGAGCGCGGGGCTCGGCCCTGAGGCCATTCCCGCCGTGATCTCGCCTCCCCTCCGACAGTCTGTCGTCTGGCGTCGAAGGACGCGCTCGCCTCGTTTTTTTCTGTCTGTGCCGGCCGAGACCCGAAGCGAAGTGTGATTTCTGAACGATGGATTTCCCGCGCAGGGCTGAAAGTTCCATCTCTTTAGTGTTCTCCGTGACAGGCTGATTTCCAAGTTCGATTTCGGTGTGACGTCTTTGCAATCGCGATTTCATGCCGCTCCAAGTGCCAAAATTTTAAATGTGAGCATGGAATTACTTCTTGCGACTTAAGTCAGTGCAGAAGGTAATTAAACATCATCTCAATCCAGACACTCAATAAGCAAATGATAAAAACTAAAATAATAAAAATTACAATAAAAAATGTTTAAAAAAAAAACATGAATATGAGAGAGAAATTGAGGCTTTATTCTGGGGACCAACTACCCATTCGTGACATTGTTCCAATTCTGCTTGATCGAAAGCCCGACCTTGAGCAGGGACCACTGCTTCGTGAAGAACAGGATCCAGAGGACCTTCACCAGCGCTTGGTAGCCCAGCTGGCGCAGCACCTCCTCCGTGTAGACGGAGCTGCCCCGGGGCTCCGGCTGGCCCGGTTGGCCCGGTTGGCCCGGTTCGCCGGGCTCGGCCAGGGCCACGGCGGCCCAGAGCGTGCCGATCGTCGCGGTCGCCGCGATCAGCGAGGTCTTCAGCGAACGCATGCCGATCATCCTAAAAATGAAAAATGCATTCATTTTTTTTACAACTCCTTAAAGTATATTGTGTTATAAAATATTGTATATTTTATAACACAATAATAAAAGCATGATTAAATAATAATATTATATTTAGCCATTTGATATTTAATAATGTAGTATATTAATATATAACATGTTTAATGTAAAAAGTATATTTTATAAATAGTATAATTTTTGTAAATATTTTATTACCAACATATTACGCAATCAACGGATTAACAATTAATTATGTGATTAATAATTAAATTTTAACCCCAGCATCCCCAGGCTCAGATGAACCAACGCCTCTTGCATCGACCTCTGAGGCTGAGTCTCCCGCCTTCCCCTCCAGAGCCTCCACCCATCGCCTCGTCAGCTGTGCTGGCCCAAAAGCCATTGGCATCAGCTGATGGATGGTCGGTGTGGTCTTGAGCGGAACTCGAGTGTTTCGAGAGGGATTCCTGCGCGGCGCTTCGCGTTGACTGCGCGCGATATCCGGCGGTGAGCGTAGATGTGGCTCAATTTATATATTTTATATGTTTATACCAAACTTCGCGCAGTGAATACTATTAGGTATAGACAAGGCTCACCGAAAATTTAATAAAGATTCATTCGAGTGTAACTCATTTTAAAATGTGTTTTCTTCGTTTGAAGTTGAGTCGAATTGAGTCGAATGGGAATTGTCCATTCGGTGACGCTTTGGGCGGTGATCGTCACAAAAAAAAATCCAAATGCAATATCCGCCGACGGATCAGGTTTCGTTCGGAGAATTTCCACTGCGATTTGCAATTCATTTGAGAGCAATCGGTCGTGGACATGATTTAAAGGGGGCAGGGGGGGCGAGGGGGGCAGGGGGGGGGGGCAGGTGCCCCCCTTTGACTTCCCGACGTTACGCCGCTGAGTTAAACAATATTTATATAAGTAATTAAATAAATAAACAGGTGATAAAAAAAACGCGGTCGGATGAAGAAGTCATTGGGAAAAACTCGCTTGTTTCGGTTTCAAATGGATGTTCTCACGGAGAAGGTCTCTGTCACGGGGATGCACTTCGGAGGGAACGCCTGCTGCGAATGGAGGGTCGTGGGGAAGGGAGGCCGGGGCGGGGCGGGGGGGGGGGGGGGGGGGGGGGGGGGCGCGGACTCGCGAGGGGGGGGGGGGGGGGGAGGAGGTCGCTGACTCTCGCGGGAACCGTTCCTCGTTGGGATGCGGGACGCCTCGACGCGCGCGCGTGTCACGGCGCCGTGACTCGGCGGTCTTCCCTCCATTTTTTTTGTATGCTTTGGTCTTGTTTTGGCTTTTCGGGAGTTTTCATGGTTGCCTGGATTTTTTTTTTCTTTAAAGCTGGCATTCGGGGATTATTGCAATAAGAAAAAATTAATTTTGTGCCAGATGTGGAATCATCGGGTCAAAACTATTTATATATTTATTTTTACAATGTGCCACATCTGGTGATGTAACATCAAGAACATGAAGCGCCTGATGACAAAAGCGGCGCTCGATGGAAACTGGGGGAGCTGAACAGAGCACCAATCACCGTCTAGTGGTCAACAAACACGGGTGAACTACGGGTGAACTACAGGTGAACTACGGGTGAACTACAGGTGAACTACGGGTGAACTACAGGTGAACTACGGGTGAACTACGGGTGAACCTCAGAACGAGGCAGAGAAGGCGTTGAAAAATGAGCGAGGCGAGAAGCCCTTCGCGATGAGGGAACTCGTGCCGAGTTTGCGAGGCCGATCGGCGAGAAGTATTTGCAACTGTGATGTTCAACTGTGATTTCAACTGTGATCATCTTCAGATGTGAAGACCGAATGCGCTCCATTTCAGCTCGGTGTTTTTGCGGCGACAGCAAGAGTCTGTGGGGAGATGTGCATCGGGGTAGCGCACGATAACGCCAAGCGTTCTCCCTGGTGGACACCAGCGAAACGCAAGACCAAAAAGAAGAAATTCGGCGATCGAATCGGACAACCGTACTGCCACCAGAGTGTCCTGGGTGACCATCCGAAGGTTACGGCAAGGCAGGCACCACACTCTCCTTGTCCTCAAAGACCGAAGCGGGGAAGTGTTGGCTGCCGAGACACATATACTTGGGAGGCGGAAGGAACATTTTGAGGAGCTCTTAAACCCACCGACAGTGGACACTGACCGATCCGACCCGGAGCCACTCAGCGCGGAGACTAGTCTCACCGTGAAGGAAGTTCCATAGGCCATCGTCAGCCTGAATGTGAAGTCTCCCGGGGTCGGATGCAATCCGAGCAGAGGCTCTGAAAGCAAGGGGCACAGATGGGTGATAGGGTGTGTCAGGGGGACATCACCTACCCAGGAAGCACACAACGTTGGGCCCACGTTGGCTGCGAGTGGGGGAGCGTGGACCAACGTCGCTGTGGGCTGCCCACGTAGGCCCCGCGTCGGCGCTAGGGCAGCAGCCAACATTTGTCGTATCTCAGGATGATACATCAATCTCAGTTATTTGAACAAAAAGCTTCCCGCAAATGATACGAGATGGCGACATGAAAGCTGTCTCATCTCGAACAGCCAATTTCATTTTTGCCAAAACCGGTATCAGAATTTTTAAAATGTTTACTTTTTCAGCCAAATGACTTTTCTTCACTAACAGTACAGGGCATGCTCTATGGAGATGTCACTTGGCATCAATGCATTCGTGTCACCGTTGCATTCGTGTCACCGTTGCATCCGGGTCACCGTCGATGGCTTCGTAAGAGCAGGTCTGGGAACAAAGAACCTGAACATTTCGAATGTCGTTGGAGTCATATATTTATTGGAGGGAAGTAAAGTCGCGGTGAAAAGTCACGTAAAGAGAGATGGGATATCACGTAGGGAAAGGGGAGTAATGAAGAAGCGGGTACAATGGTGGGAGAGGGAAGGAGTTACGGAAGAAGGGAGGATGAAGGCGAAGGACAACCCCGTCTCATTTTCATCTGTTGCCCCACCCCATCACACAGGCATAATTTTTTATTATTAGCAGACCTGCAGTCCCCGTGTCCCTCAACACTCCTCCCCAAGAAGTAAGCGAGAGACAGGAGCGGAGAACGTGGGACGCCCGGCGCGGATGTCGCAAGAGAGAAACCCCGAGGGTCGGCCGCGTGCAGATCCACGAGTGACATCCGATTGCAGCCGGAAGCTTTAGAAACGGCAGGGAAAATAATTTTTTGTCGAGGTTGTTCGTCGAAAAGCAGGAAATCCTGATTCTCTCCGAGAAATCGAAACCGTTACATCTCCTCCGTCGAGACGGTGAGACAACCTGTCACTCTCGTCACGCCCGTCGACCCGTCACTCGCGACTCCTTCCCGACTCGGTGCGTTTCAGCGAGTCGTCAACTGGCATCGCTTTCATTCGAGCGGTTTTAAACCTTCCAACAACTTCGTGCCATTTTCTTGCAGGTTTTCTTTTCATTTTCTTTTCATTTTCTTTTCATTTTCTTCTCATTTTCTTCTCATTTTCTTTTCATTTTCTTCTCATTTTCTTATTTTCTTCTCCTTTTCTTCTCATTTTCTACTCATTTTCTACTACTTACCTTTTGAATTCTGAGACTTGATCACATCCAGCTGGTAATAACCAGAGACCAAAGTAACTGTCAAATTAAATTGTTTTCTATGTTTGCATTCAGATGTGCCAATGATAAATTCAAAAAGCGTTTGTCCAACTCCCTTCAAATTCTATTAGTAACACATAAGTATTTATAGTAGAAAATGACCACTCACCGTCTCATCGGAGACGAAACGGTTTCGATTTCTCGGAGAGAATTCCTGCTTTTCGACGAACAACCTGGACAAAAAAATTCTTTTCCCTGCCGTTTCTGAAGCTTCCGGCTGCAATTGGACGTCACTCGTGGATCTGCACGCGGCCGACCCTCGGGGTTTCTCTCTTGCGACATCCGCGCCGGGCGTCCCACGTTCTCCGCTCCTGTCTCTCGCTTACTTCTTGGGGAGGAGTGTTGAGGGACACGGGGACTGAAAGACTGCTAATAAAAAAAAATTCTACCTGTGTGATGGGGTGGGGCAACAGATGAAAATGAGACAGGGTTGTCCTTCGCCTTCATCCTGTCTTCTTCCGTAACTCCTTCCCTTTCCCACCATTGCACCCGCTTCTTCATTATTCCCCTTTCCCTATGTGACATCCCATCTCTCTTTACGTGACTTTTCACCGCGACTTTACTTCCCTCCAATAAATATATGACTCCAACGACATTCGAATGTTCAGGGACTTTGTTCCCAGACCTGCTCTTACGAAGCCATCGGCGGTGACCCGGATACAACGGTGACAAGGATGCAACGGTGACAAGGATGCAACGGTGACACGAATGCATTGATGCTGAGTGGCATTTCCACAGAGCATGCCCTGTACTGTTAGTGAAGAAAAGTCATTTGGCTGAAAAAATAAATAAAAAAATAAAAAAAGATACAGGTTTTGGCTAAATAGAATTGGCTGTTCGATATGAGACAGCTTTCTTGCATACGACTAAGCACAGGTTTATTTTTCTTTTCCAGTCAGAGACAGAATTGAAAAATGTCGGGCGGTTGCTGCGACAGACCAAACGATAACCTCGTTGAAGAAAACCGATTACCATCTTCGTCCATCGTGCAACTTCGAAACGGATTCCGAAGACCGCCACGCTCGAAACTTGGAATTCCGCCGTGAAACATTTGTGGCACTCGGAGATAAGCCGACCGGGATTCCGTGGAAATGGGCTCTCGGCGGAATTTCGTTCGGAGACGGGTGAAATCAATTTCGAGGGTTGAAGTTTTAATTCGTGAAATTTATTTATGGATATGAGAGACAAAAAAGGGTAACACGGAGAAATTAATTGCGAATCACAGGCGCTTTTGACACCAAGAACCGAGACGGTCGGGAGAATCCCCACAGCGTCCGAGTTTTCTCCGCAAGTCTTCCCGACTTCCCGCGCTTGCTACTCGTTCGGCGGCTGGGCGATGGGGACGATGCGCTCGTTTGTGGCGGCCAGGGGGATCGCCTGGAAGATGAACGCGGTGAGAATAGGGATGATATAGGAGAGAGAAAAAAAGGAAGGCTTGCCATTTTGGGAGCTCTGACGGTGAGGATCCCGTCGGAGGAGAGGGAGGACTGGACGTTCTCGCGTCTGACTCCTTCCGGGAGGTGGTAGCGGCGCTGGAAGTGGCGGGAGACCCAGCCGTGTTCGTCCCGCTTCTCGTCGTGCTTCGCCTCGACGACCACCCAGTCGCCGGATGTCTTTAGCTGGATCTCGGAGGGGGAGAAGTGCTGGACGTCGAGGTTCACCTGAGGGGAGGATCGAGTGTCGGTGCCGTCTCGGTTGAGGAGAGACTGAGACGTTGCGAATGGTACCTCGAATTTTTCCTCGTCGTCGATGATTTCGCAGGCCTCCGACGCGAGACGGCCGAAGTCGGGTCGTCGAGTCGGGGCGGACGAGAGGACGCAGAGGCGCGGGACCGCGCCGGGGCATCTCACGCCTAGGCGCGGATTGAAGAGGCGGGCGAAGGGGTCAATCTCTTCGCGGCGAGACCACATTCCCCATGGAAATAAGGCCATGTCGTATGGCGACTTGGATCCGATAGCTGGGCTTCTGCGGTACGTTTCCCGGTGTGGGATCACTGCTCGAAATGCAAGTGGAGGTCCTCGCTCGTCGATTTTATTGCGTGAAAATGGGGCCTAGCTGCTTCCAGAAATATCCAGCGCCAAGGGTAGAAGTCTAGAAAGTTCCATGCGATATGGATGAACCCCACGAGGAAAGAAGCGAGGATCACGTGGAGTGGATACTCGAGTCCTTCGAGGGCCGTGAATTCATGGAACCGCAGCGTCCCGCAACTCCATAGGTATGCATCCGCAACTGCATAACGGGGCCCGCGGGACGGAAGTCGTTGGCTTTGCAGGCAGTCCTCTACCGCACAGCTGTTTTCGCCCGACCAATCGGAGCGGCCGGCTTGACTTTGAAGTGGTTCTCGCTAGAAATTTCTCGCTCTTTTGGCCATTCATCGCCTCTCGAGGGGCAAGGGCAAGGTTGAAGATGCCAGTTCCTCTTTCCTCCCTCAAATTCCGATGACCAGAAAGTCGCATTCAGGCCTAAGGGTCACTTTAAGTGATCCTTCGGGTCTAGGCCTATCGCTTTGGCCTCGTGAGACCGGATGCTGAAGCAACCTAGTCCATGGTTCTGTTTTTGCAAGTGAGCAATTCACATATTGTTTCTACATCTTCGATGAATGGCGAACAAGACAGGATTTAATGGCGATGAAACCTCATGGTCTTTCTGCATCACTTCAAGACCAGTTCAAGGTGAATGGCAGTTTCAATATGAGATTTTTGGTTGGTGAGTGGTTATGTTGAGAAGAATCCCACTAAGTTTGTGTGGCATTTGATTGTAGGCCTTTGAAGTATGCATATCCATGCTTGTTTGTGAGGGGGTTTTGCAGGCTTAGTTTTAGAGAGCCTCATTACTAACGATGCCTTATGGACACTTTCAAGGGCCAAGTGTATTCAATATGACGACCTTTATGACTTGCCATACTCCCGAATAGGTATGACCTGAGACCATCGATGAATACTGTGAATGGGGCCAAGATGCCCCAACCTCTTCAAGTGGCACACAAAACCAGATGCCTGCCCCGTTGTGGCATCAAGAACGATGATGCCATCATGTCACCATCGACTTGCCTTTGCCCTCCAGGTTTGAGGCATGTCATAAGGCTCTAAGTCCCCATTAGTTGTTGAAGTTGCTTGTCTGAAATGATCAGTTGAGCAGTACTGATGTAGAGCTGCAAATGCTGTATTAGTATTGTAATATGTCAGCACATTTGTTTGTTTTTTTCTGGTCTGTAAAAGTCTGTTGGCAATTTCCTGAAATTGGACAGAATCTAATTCTATTTTCATGTATTCATTAGGCTAGCTTTCTTTAAAAGGGTCTTTGCTTTAACAATAAGTTCTTGTTATAGGTGCATACCTGGGAGAAACACCAGAACTGGGGAACTGACCCCTCACCTCAGCCTCACATGGTAAATCCTAGGATTAACCATGGTTAAATGGATAATCCAAAAAGCAAGTGGGGCTATTGGAGGAGCCATGCTGTTCAGGTGTTTTCCTGCTGGCACATTTGCTTTGAGACTCTTCCATCACACTGAATGAGTGAAAAGAACTGAGAAAGCCCAGTCTGCTTCAGTGCTTGTGGATTTAGGGGATGAAGAGTGAAAGAAGTCTCCCCCTAAAGAAGGATGAAACCTTTGCTCAAACTGATGAGGGTTAGAATTTACCTTATCAACCCAAAAATTCTGGATTTTTCTGTTTTGTGGTGCTATAGTTTGCCTTCATCAGCCTATACCACAAAAGAGGCCTTGAAGTGTTTTAGAGAGTCTTCATTGGCATTAAACTGGACCTTTGGCGAGGTTGAGAGTTTAATTTACAGTTGTCCATTAGTTACACAACTGTTGTGGTTGGTGCCCATGTCACTTCACTTTTATCACTTTCCATGCAGATATCTTACAAGTCTGGCTTGGAAAGCTCTCAATTCTGGCTTTCGAACTGTCGTCCGAACCCAAGTCGAGAAGGGTCACGATGATCAAGCTGCCTCTTTTCGAGTCCACACTTCTTCCCTGTGAGATGTGGCAGTGACTACTTCGTCCCCTTCTTTTTGAAGACGTCATCCTCCATGCTTGGATCCTTCACTTTCCATCTAGCTCAACATGTTGCTTTGTTAAAGCTTCTCAGGCCAAATTGATATGGTTCTTCATGATGCCTTATCACCTCAGCTCTCCCTTCCATCATTATACATCATTTCTCTCTCCCTTCCATTAAATTATACATAATTTTCCTGATTCTCATCAGCCTTTGAAGAGTAAATGGATTGAAGTTGTTTTGGACAAAGCATTATCTCCTCTTGGTAAATGAAGCCATATCTGTCTAGGTCTAGAATCTTATTCAACACATTTTTTGCATTTCCATTGTCATTGAAGTGACAGGTGAAGTTGACATTTGAACATGATTTGCAAGAATATATGTTTCATACCTGATCTGGCCCTGTCTCCATTAAGGTATGACATTCATGCTTCCCATTGAGTTCATGTAACTTTTTATCATCATGTACTCAATTATTGACCATACAAGTCCAACATATTCAGCTATTTCTCCTGAAATATTGCATGTCTTTTCCATACGGGAAAGTTTTCACAAGTGCAGCAGAAACAGAAGCAAAATACCTGCTACATTGATCAAGAGGATTGCCACAGTGAAGCTTCATTGCATTAAGGAAGGTAGCAAACTACACAGGCAAAAGTCAAAGGTGATCAGGTCAAAGCAAGGGGCCCATGATCCCCCTGATTGAAAAGATGTTACCCAAAACTAACAATACTGAAGACCTTTGTGTGTTAATATGCAGCCAATTAACAGCTTATTTTGTCCTGGTTCAGAAAGGATCAAGCTTGAGGTGTCCCTATGGAATTGTCTTTCTTCTCTATTGAAGCATGTCAGAGTCCAGCCTTATTTCAGCATCAAGCCTGATGTATGAGAAGCAGAATGGAAATGACCATGTGCAAAAATATGGAGATTTTTAATGATCATCGTGGATTGCTGAATAGACTGAAGCAGACATATTTTTTTAGATGAAATCAGTTTGCAAAATTCATCCATGAAGAAATAACAGGGAGTGAACATTTACTACACCCAACAGTCAACAACAGCCATGCAAGTTGGTCACAAATAATTATATCAATTCCATTTATGTACTCTATTATTCTGCAGTTTAATGAGAAAATCCAGAAGGAAGAAGAAGCGAAGGACTACGCTTTGTTTTCTCAAGTATTCAGCCCTACCTAAATGAACATGCAGCTCTGAAAGGCTCAGACACTTGAGCCCCGTGCAGGTGGCAGTAGCCCACATTTTGCACGACCCATTTCAAGAAGGTACTGTAGGTCCATGAACCCCACTAGGGTGAGAATGCATGAGAAAATTGATCAAGCAACAAGAACAAGGAGGAAGACATTCAACTCCTTTTAACCAGACTCCTTCCATGGCAGTACTGCAGTTTTCGTTGGAATTGAAGGAGGTCATCAGGCTTCTATTTGAACATCATCCTGGAATTCCAGCTGAATTTTCAATGAGCTCAAAAGTCATTAAATCCATCTGAAGGCATTGGCAAATCTTCCAGAGGAGATATCACATTTATGTTGTTCTTTGTTTGGTCTACGTCAAGCATTTATGCCAAGCATTACATTTGCCCACAGTTGAAAATCACTACCATTGCTACATGCTTTGTCAATTACATTAGCATCTGCAATAAGATGCAAGTCAAAATTAAGTTGTTGATGGCTTGTGGTTACTATAATTAGTAATGCACTCTATCGCTCCAGACATGAAAAAAAATTAACAGCAGACAACACAGATGAGTTCACTGAAAAGAAAGCAAGAAAGGGGCCCTTTTGAAAGTGAAAGGTTTGAATTGTGAAAGTTTAAAAGGTAGAAAAAAAAAGACAGCACATGAAGTAAAGTACCATGTGATTGCCACATTCTGTAGGTCTAGCCTTTTCACTTTTATAAAATGTGATTTAAAAGGGCAATAGCAGCATGGGTTCTCATGGAAGGGGTGAATATGATATTGCAAAATAACCAATAGTTTGGGGAGGAGGCAGAAATCTCATCCTATCCAATGACCTTATTTGCACAGGTCCCAATAGTCACTTGAAGGGACATGCAATGACATTAGGCATCACATCCTATTGGTCTCAAAGTTAATTAAAATTTCTCCAGGTAAATTGCATACCGTTGCAGTGCTCCTAAGTCAAACATGACTGGATTTGTGGGTTCAATTTAAAAGAAAAGTATTGGCTCCTTTAGAATATATCACACAAAAGCAACAGACTCTTAATTAGCATAACTTTGGCATTCCAGCTTCCACAAGGAGTTGGTGCAATTTATCTAGAAGATTCTACTATTAAACCTTCCTCAGGAAGAATTCAAGGCTGTCTATATACATTCAGACTACAAACAAGCACATCCCTTCAGGATAACAAGAACCCTAGCTATAGCATGGAGACTTTGCAGTCTTCAGTCTATTCCTCTGGGTCTCCACATCCGGCGGGAGACCATCGCATGCACTTGCCAGAGCTTCTTCATCCGATCCTTAAACGTGTAGCCTCAGACTCCGTGTTGTTCCAGACACGAAGGGGAGAGAGGGAATGAACTGAAAGCACATGAGCCAACCTGCAAGGACAGAGAAAGAAGTTGACTCACTCGCCTCTTCTCATAGATATTCGTGAAAGCTTGAATGCACAGGGATTGGGAACTAGAGAAGAGGCAGAAATGGCAAGTGCTACCTAAACATGCAGAAAGGGTGTTTTTCCTCATATTTACAATTTTTGAATATGCAAATGATTGCATAATAATATGCTTCAACTGAACCAAATTTCTCTAGAGGAAGGATTCATACAAGACCCAGACATGAAGCCATGTCGACCCTGGAGCATCTTTGCTTTCTTATTTTTATTGGAACAGAACAATTCTACCATTCAATAGAACATCAGACAGTTATATTCCTACTCAGCTGTTGCCAGATTCCCCAATCCAACTCTATGCAGTATGTTTGAAAATAACTGTTTAGACCCCGAATGCACAAACCTTGCTCAGGCAAGATGGAGTCCAAAGACCTATACATGCAGAATGGGTTTCAGCATTCAGGCCATACTTTTATATTTAAATATCTCCAACCTGCACATGAGGTAAATATAATAAATCTTCTAAAAAATAATAATCTTCTTAAATTTAAGTCTTTAACATTTCTTTCTCCTCAAATATTCACATTTAGGTATGATTGTGCACCAGCTCCTCTTTTTTGCCAAGTTAAAAACTGGGTGGAATCTCTTGCAATCGTGGTAACCTTATAGAAAACAACAACAATTTCTTCAAAAGCTGAGGAACCTTCCCGAGGCAATAAGCAAATCAGAAGAGTATGTATAACAATCTGTGCTGATATGATAGCAACTCATCAGTGGAATGAAGAAATGCAATGACAATGAGGAAAAATGCGGAACTGACTACTTTTCTAACATTTTATTCAGGAAAACAAGAACTTCAACTGACAACAATTCTTAAAAAGTAGCTGAGTGTAACACCCAAGACTTGCTTATCTCCTCTATTGTTTTTGAGGAATGAAATTGTAGTTTTTTTTTTTCAAACACTCCATATAGTTTACATATTAATGGAAGTAATACTTTTCCTTGGAAGTAAAGTTGAACATTGTTCTTAATCACTTGTTTACATATCAAATCTTACACAGTTAATGTCCTATTCATTATATTTATCAAAAGACAAGGTTCCTTTGGCATCACACTACTTCATAGTTATCGCATGTATGACTGACTCACTCTCGTTGCTTAAACATTTTCAGGGAATTGAAGAGCTCTGGAATTTTCTGAAAATGACACAGTCAGTATTTGATTAAATAAATTCACACCACGAACCTGCTTTCGTGAATACTTGATTATTTCCCTTTCTTCTTGAAGTTGTCACCTGGATACCCTAACAGCATGTCCAGTCTCCTCCAAGTGCTTGAATAATTTATTTCTGGTGGTGCAAACTGTTCTGCAGACAACACAAGTGAGTTCTTCTGCCTGGTTCTGCTCATCTTTCTTCTTCTTCCTCTTCTGCTTGCGATTGGTTCGCTTTTTTCCAGGCTTCTCCTCTTCTGTGTCTGCCATTTTGTCAGGATCTTGTTTGGGCAAAGGCTCCTCATCGCATGGACCTTCTTCGATGCCTGGCTCTTCTGTAACTGTCTCATCTTCATCTAGGGGAACAAATTTCTCTTTTTTCCGCCTTGACTTCTTCTTCTTCGACTTTGGTGCTTGCTCTTGAGAATCCAGCTGAGAATCTAACAAATCCTGCTCAGCAACATCCTCGGCCTCCCCATTTGGGCGTGCAGCAATGTCTTCGGTCTCCAATGTAGACTTCAAGATGCTAACATTTAAAAGGTGCTTCTTGGACCTTTCATGACTCCTTAGGGCATTGGAAGACTGGAAAATTTTGTCACAAGCAATGCAATATAAGGCTTCATCAAGGACTGAATTCCCAATGGAGTCTGAATCTTCACCGTCCTCCTCTCCTCCTTTACTTTCATCAGGGCTCTCCTCACCTTCCATGGGGGACAAGTCCTCACCAAATTCAGCCAAGAGTGCAGCTTCTATATCCTCCAGGCCTTCCTCCAGGTCAGCAGTACTGGCCCAAGGGGGGAGAGCCTCTTTGGCAGATGCCATCATTTGCCTCCTTTCCATGGCTTGCTTTCCCTTCATCTCCTTCACACGCCGTGCATTAGCGGCGCACTTCTCTTCCAGACGGGTCCGATACTCTTGAACTCTCGGGTCTCTCTTCCGGACGAACGCGATGAGGGCCCGCACTTCCTCGTTTCTCTTGCGTTTGGCCTTATCACGGATCTTCTTGTTCTCTTTCTCCATGATCCTTAAAACTTGGCGATTGGGAGCTTCTCGGATGTTGTACTTATCGAGCCATGCGTATGACTTCTTGGTGCAATGGCTCATCCAATATGCATAAAAGGGGTGTACAATCTCCTCATAAGAGCTGTCTGAATCTCCAAACTCAGGCACTTCTACATCGCTCCCATCATCAGCACCTTCCATGAAATCACACTCTTCGGCAGCTATCGTCTTGAAGACCTCCCTGTACACCGCATAGAAGCCTCGATCGTCATTTCCGAAACCAGAAAAGCAAGAGGTGTTGAAAAAATGAAAGATGTTCAAATATTTCTCCTCGTGGTTTTCGTCGAGACCCTCGGCCAGGATGGCCTCTCGGTGCTTGTCGTACCACGCCCTCTCTTGAGGATCGCTCAGCACGTCATAGGCCTGTTGGATGGTCTGAAACTGCGTCTTGCACTCCTCTGGATTCTCCAGATTCTTGTCAGGATGCCACTTCAGTGCAAGTCTTCGATAGGACTTCTTAATGTCCTCATCTGTTGCACTGCGAGCAACTTCCAGAACTTCATAATGACACTTCATCTTCAAAGCAGAAGAAATAAAAATTATATCAATCAGACTTTCACAATGCTTAGACCTACTGTAATATGTATATAAATTACAAATAATACAACCAAAGAGATTGGATATAAAATCTTATCAACACATGGTATTAAAAATTCACATCATAGACAAATATGAAAGCACACATCTGCAAGGATTTCAAGTGCCAGAAGAGAAATCAAATCTGGATTTGGCTATGAAAAACTGTTTACAAAACAGTCATTTGGTTTCAAATCCATAACTTACGCTCGGGCTCAAAGCTCTTGAATGTTGAGGACCTTTCACCTAACATTTGGTGGAAGACCAATGACATCTGCTAAATTCAAATGGGTTTCGCAAAGATCAATGATCACTCACCCCTTCGTAATGGTGCTTTAATGACTATTTGAATCATCAAGACGTCATTCTTGATATTGATCATGGTAATAAGGACATACCAAAGAAACTACACACATTATTCCATCTTTACAGCAAGAACATGAACTCTTGCTTGCATTGACTGATGCCTTTGAGTTTCTGCAGAGGTTTAATTTATTTTTATTTCAGAAAATGAAATTCAATATGACACATTTGCTCTTCACCTTAGAATTTGCCAAATTTAATGGTCTTCCTAGTTATCAAAACGAGCCAGGCGCTGGTTGCACTGCCTCTGTTAGGGCAGACCAAGATGTGGAGTCCAACTTCGAGAGCCTGTCTTTAATTTTAGCCATTGACCGTGACAATGAGTCTGTACAATTGAGGCTGATGTCAGGCTTTTCAATAAGTCTGACTTATTAGAGTGTGCTTTAAAGGGAAGGCAGTGCCTCTGACCCTCAGACTGGTTTATATGCAAAATGATGGTAGATTGCCCTTTTTTTTGTAGCTTGGAGTAGCTATGAAAAAGAGTTACACTGTGGCACGATCCAATCCTCGACATACTGTAGGCAGTTGTCCACAATTTCTCAATATTCAGCTGACATTTTCAGCTTATGAAATCAAAAATTTAAGTTCGAAAATTACCCTATGCTAAGAACGAGATGTCAATAGTTGCGTTAAGTGGAATATGCTAATTTCATGCTTCCAGCCCTACACTACAAGGTCGAGATTAAACCACTTCCGCATCGCCCCCCAAAAACCATCGTACGACTTAGGAAAAGCGTTCGACTCCACAAGACTAGGCCTAAATGATAGGAAACTCGAGCCTCCTCCATGCCGAAGCCAGCCATGCTGAAGCAAGCTTAATCTAATCGAAAACCGATCGCGTCACGGGCCTCCACAAAGTTCCTTCGACGGAATCCCCGCCGAAACACGAGAGAACCCGAAGCCTCAGAACCGGAAGGCTGCCGCCTTCGTCCACTGGGCGGCGCCATGACACCCGCGCCCCGACCAATCGGCTTCGAGTCGCGTGGCGGCCCTCCTCCACTGAGTGCCCTCCTCCGACCTGCTTCACAGTTGGGAGCGTTCAGTCGGTCGGCGTCGTCGAGGCGCGCCGGTGCGACGCGCTCCGCCTCCCTGGAAAAGGAATTCTCGCGTCATTTACTGTAGGCTTTAATTTCTGACGTTTTTAAATGTTATTTGCCCGTACTTGAGCTGAGCCGCGTTTCTGTCAAATTTTGTTCCACGGCTCCCCGTTGTCTCGGTTAATTTTTTGGAAATTCCAGGAATATATCGGCTCAGAATGGTGCTGGCTCGACCGATGAACATACGAAACTCGCATGAATCCGGTGCTAGACCTACCCAAGCCAAATTTAATGAAACTCGCAGCTTCAAGAAAAATTGTTTACATTGCCCATTGGTTCGTTTTGTTTTTGTTTTTTGCAGCCACCAATCCATCCAAAAGAGTGGAACTACTCGCAATTTTCCGCTCAGACACGGAAAAAGAAACAGAGTGCCCACAGATGAGAGCTAGCGGACTTCGTCATTTGAGCAAAAAAATGTCGCAAGAAAAAGAATTCCAAGAAAGAAAAACCGAACGGGCCTGAAAGACCTGAAGTCGGTCGCGATGGAATTTCTTGGAGCCAGAAGCCGAAGGGGCGAAGAGGGGCAATGGCCCTCGTTTTTTCCCTACAATTCATGTTCTTAACGATGGAGCAAAATTCTGAAGAAATTACATAGGTGTATTCGTTTTTGTTATTAGAACCGGTGACTCAAACACAATCGCAAGAACTTTGAAAATATGTATTTTTCTTCGTGGATTACAGGTTGAAGAATGAGGGGGGGGGGGGGGCCGGTTGGTCGGATGCTTTGGAAACGGACGTGTGGGATCGAGGAAATGGGACAGATTTCAATTCAAGAAATTAGTTTTCAGGGGTGTGGTCGATATTGCCATCACACATGAAAAAGCACGGATCAAATGATGAATGGCTTCACAGGAAGTCCCATGTGGACATAGTTCATTTATTGCAAAAGCGCCCTTTCCGGAGATCCAAAATCATGAGGTAACAAGCATTAGGTTTCATCAATGTGGAAAGACCCAGATGCAAATAGAATAAATGCTTCAAGAACATTTTCCTTCAACTGATGTAGCCAATTTTAATGGGATATAATGAAAGCAGAAGGCAAACTGTCACTTTTGTGCTCAGAAGACAATGCACAGATGAAGACAAATGTTTCGATCGATGCCGTCCGGCTTCCCTAACTGGAGTGATGCACGAGTGCAATGTGGGAATTCAAGTTGCTGCTCTGGGCGAAGCTCTTCCCGCAGAGGGAACAGGCGAAGGGCTTCTCTCCCGTGTGGATGCGGTAGTGCTTCCGGACGTTGCCTTTCTGGGAGGCGTAGCCGCAGACGCCGCAGACGTAGACGCGGAGGCCCCTGGCCGACCCGGTCCAGAGGCCGCTCTCGACTTGCTTCAGGCTCTGGCAAGGACAAATGCAGGTTTGAAGGATTTGATAAGTACAACAATGATGGGAGTCAGGGCTAGCAATGGAACATTTCTCATCGACAGAATCTCTTCAAATTGCTCGAACGATAAAAACATATGACAAATGATTTCTCGTGTCCTGTTGACTGATTCCACCCCACAAGATCACTCAAGAAATAAATTTTCAGATTCCAAGTCTCATTCGTGCACTCGTGTCTGTCCGTGATGAGTGATTACGTGGCCCTTCAAATGCTGGCTCTGCCGAAAGCTCTGGCCGCAAACGGCGCACCGGTGCGGCTTTTCCCCCGTGTGGCACCGGACGTGGTGGATGGTGTTCGTCCGGTGGGGCGACGCGTAGCTGCAGAACACGCACAAGTAAAGCTTGAGGCCTGTCTCCCTCGTTCGTCCGCACCAGATCCCATCGTGTCCTCTTCTCAAACTCTACCAAATAAAAATGGCTCTCAATTTGTGCCGCAAAGAGTTTTTACCACACACTTTCCAACAATTGATGTCTCATGAATCACAAAGTATGGTGGAGTCAATACGAGCAGTGCTCACTTCAAAAGGGGGAAAAAATGTCAAAAGCATGTCCTTCACTTGCATAAACATTTTTAGAATTAGCTTAAAGTCCCTCAGGAATGAAAGATGTTAGTGGAAGGAAACACAACTATGATTTTGAGCATTTGTTTATTCATGAGTTGTTTTCATAACTCTCTCAACTGTCTCACTTAACACCTATCTGGTTGCAAGCACAACAAGGGATAATTCTGCTTCCTAAAATCCTGGCTGCAAAAGCTAGGATTTTTAGAACACAAGACTGAAACATCGAGAACATTTTTTTTTCATTTTTTACCAGCAAGACAATATAACAGATGGAGAGTTTGGTAGCCTGAAATACTTCAATGTGCAACAAATGGCCACACCTTTGTCTTTAACCCAGCCCGTATTAGTTCCTCTATCTTGGTTATGCGATGTATGACAATAGACATCAATGTTTTACACATCACTGATAATCACAGCCATTGTACAAAAATCAATACATTCACACCTTCTGACAATAACTCAAAATAAAAGAAATGCAAAAATGGATGGAAGCATTTCACGTGTTCAGCACAAATGCGGGTCTCAGAATGCAACGTGCACAGTGGCCAGGTGGCGCTTCCAATTTGACCTGTCCTTGAAAGATTTGCCACAGATGTTGCAGGTGTAAGGTTTTTCACCGGTGTGTTGGCGCACGTGGACGAGGACGTGCGACCTGCAGGCCGACTTGTAGAGGCAGTGAGAACAGAAGAAGAGCTTGCAGTTGAGATCCGGTCGGCGACCGCTCCAGACTCCTGTCGTCTCCATTGTCACTGTCTGGTAGGTGGTAAACATAATGGATATGATGGTGATGGAAACAAAGGAAGACCCAGATTCCAAGATACAGCAATGAGACCGTTACATCAATCTTCGTACATCATAAAGAATGTGGGCAAATAGTATTTTCCAGAAGGAATTTGAGTGTTCCATCTCAAATGCAAGAACTAAAAGTCACACATCTCTCATCAACTTCAAACAGAGCACGAAAAGAAACAGCCATTGATTCATAAGACCCTTTTACCCCATTTGTCAGTCTTGAAGGCGGAATCGTCACGCAGAACAACCTTCTTGTTTGAAATTCACAGGTTAGAATGGACAGTGTTCAGATGTCGTCTCCACAGAAAGTTCACACGGAAACACTTCCCACAGACGTGGCACTCGTAAGGTTTCTCTCCCGTGTGACGTCGCACATGAGCGACGACGCTCGCCTTAGTAATGGATTTGTACCCACAATACGAACAGAAGAACATCTTGCACCTCAAACTGGTTTGTCGTCCGCTCCAAACTCCATCTTTCTCCTTCACCAATGTCTATATTTTCAGAGAGATTTGTGAAATGAGTTCCATGAATGAATGTGGTCCTCATTTCATTGGTTAGGCTGAGGAAAGTGATTGCCAATAGATAAACCTTGTGCCACCCCCTTCACGATAAAAGTCATAGCGTTTCCAACTGCATCGATGCAAATTTTCCCTTTCCCTCGCAAAACATGCTTCCACGAATGACAGTCCAGCAATTGAGAAGGTTCAGCGAGTGTCAAGTGGAAGTGGATTGACCTGATGGAGACCTTTCAAATTCTTCTCACACAGTTACACACGACATTTTTACAATTTCAAGTGAAGTTCAAAGGGGACTTCATCTGTGGGTGGGATTTTTCCAAGACGATGAACGGTCAAATGTGAGAATATTGTGATTTAAAAACAAGCATTTTCAAGACCAGTGAACATTGCTCCCAATGTCGGTTGAAACCATAAACCACAGGCAAACTCAGACATGTGTAAACATATAGTCAAAACACACATCTTGAATATGACAGCTAAAGGAAAAGTAGTTATGCGCAGATAATCCCAGGGACAACCTGATACTTCTAAAGTAGAGCTAGTATAAATCTGAATCCTGTATTTAACTCATCTGAGACTGAAAAAATATCCCCTCATTAATAAACCATACTGGATCTTGATTTTAAACAACTTGATGAGACAAGTCAAGCTGCATGTTCCTGGAAAAGGAGTAGAGTAACAAGAAATTAAAGAAAAAAATTAACCCTTTTACAGCTGTGTGGCTGATTTTTCAGCCACATGTACATGTATTTTTGACTAGAGCTTTTCATTAGGTTTCTTCCATCACATAGTTGGGACCTTATTGGTAAATGACATAAAAATAGGCCAACAGCATTTTTGGAAGTGGTAGATCTGGCAGAAAAATCAGCTGCATGCCACTGAAAGGGTTATAGCCTTTACATTTTTATATTTAATCTTTCCATTACATGTAGCATTCTTAAAAAAATTTATCTCAATATTTCATGCATATTTCTGCTGAGTTTTGTTTTGGGAATGAAGCATCTAAGAAACTTAGATTCTCATGCCTACATTTTTTCAAATCTAGAATGGTAAAATTAAATAACTCCGCAAAAAATTAAGCTTTTTAGAAGCTGCTTACAAGAAGGGAATAATAATGCAGCACAAGTTTTGCACTAATAGCTCAAATCGGAAAATGTGCTTTTTCGTCTCAATTTAAGCAACTGGGAAAGATAAACACTTCCTCAGCAGGAAACAATATTTCATTCATTTCTAGGATCAGGATAAAATTTCGAGTGGGATGATGGTTTAAAAAACGAAACCCCTTCCCATGTTCTTCCGTGAACCAGATATCTGTCACGGTGATAGTAATTTTAATTTCTGTCACGGTAATTAACAGAAGCAGTAAAAGCTGACAGTATGGCCTGCAGTCAATGATGCTTTCCTTTTCCCACTGTTTGTTCTCACAAAAATGGGAAGCAGACCTAAAACCAAGCATGAATGTTTATACATTCCAGTCCTACAAACGTTCAAGCTTAGAGGCAAATGAAGTATGTTAGGATATCAGGAATTAATATAGCATTTCACATTGTTGGTAAGGGAAATGCTCTTAATTTTGCCTATCATGAGCATCCTGATTGATTAAATCAAACTCCTTCTCTGAACTTGGCTAATGGAATAAAACTGCTTTGTGGAGGCAAAGAAAACATGACTGTATGAATGCCCTCAAGACAACAAAGCTGTCGTTTACAGACGACTTATGGGTGTGGAATGAAAATGTACCACCTAAGTAGAATCCATTGTAAGGTAGATTTTTATTAAATTGTTTATCAACAGCGCTAACATTAATCACTTGATGAGCATAATTGAATCGCCATTCCTAGTATTTTAACAGCTCAGAAAAGTTCCATCTAGACTGCATTACATCATTAAAACCAGCTGAGCAAGTAGCAGCCCTCCATCGGGTGTAGCACAATATATGATGCACGTGAAATAATTTGAGGCATGGATGAGAACGGGAGATATGTCTGGAAATGGTGTGGAAGGGGATTTATTTGGGGTTGGAAAAGGGGGAGGAAAGTGACCCAATCCATTTTATTATGTAAAAGGAATTTATCAGCTTCATAGTTTTGAACTGACATCATTAGTTAACAACAATATTAAATACACCATTTCAAAACAAAACTGAGTGCCCTCCTGGAGCTTCAATATTAATATTGCCTTTTCCTTTCTTGTTCATTGCTCAAAATTACATGCACCAATCCAGTCCAGTACCTCTCTGCCACTTAGTTTTTATTTATATTTATTATTTTTGGAATAGTATATTTTGTGGATGAAACATTTGCTCACATCTATGAGTTGTGAAATGAATTTGGTGATGTTTGAATCAGCATTCCACAAATTCTGATGGAAGTTTCAGCTTGCATACACATACATACATCCAACCATTTGCACGAGCAGTCTCATGCCCTTTTCGCACGAAGGAAGTTATCTCACATTCACAGCTATTAAATGGACAATAAAATGTGTTTCACACTTAGGACCATCATATTATATTTCAATATTTCCACAATAATTCACACCAGGAAGAGATACATAGAAAATACCATCCCCTCTTAATCATTAATGAATAGATTCACAGAAATGGGCTCAACTTTCCCATGCTCTGCCAGAATGATAAAAGTGCCAAACCTGTACAATTTAAAGGAAAATAAAGATAATAATTGCTCAACCACTCCAGGAAGTGATCCATGACCATTTAGCACCGGCAATTATTCACCTCCAAAAGAGGCAGTTGTGTACACAAATTCTCTCAAGTTTTCTTATGCTTTTGAAAAATAGGCATTAGGCTTTGGTACCCAACTGTGTAGCTAAATGAGTTCTGTTGAATTAGTAATCACAACTTGTTATGGAAAAAAAGAGTAAGTAACTAGAGCTGTGAGAGAACATGAGAAACTAGAATTCTGGTCAATATTCATTTGAAAAAAATAAATAAATATATTTCATATCAGACGTTTTTCAGTAGTGCCTGATTTCCTTATCACCAGGAACAGACCACACACATTGCTAAAAAGAAAAATCTTGTCCCTGTGGCATGAGAGATGAAGCCAGCAAATCATGGAATGGTGGTAAGTTGTCTGGACCATGCACATCTCCTTTTGGTCCACATCTTCCTTTCTTGTGAGATGCAAGAGTACAATTAGAGCAATTGATACAACTGTAATATGAATTCCCTACCCTCTTTTCATGGCTGGTACAAATCCATGCTGACTGAAGGACAACAACATACCATGAAAAAAGACTATTCCTCGCCTTGCTGTTAGAAAATTAGTCAAACTGACAATGAACTGAAATTGATATCAATATTAGCCTGAGCTTATCGAGGAAACATATGCGGCTGGTGCAAGATCCAGGGAAGGATGGGTTAAAGAACAACTGAATGCCTTGGCACAAAGTGACTTGACACACACTAGTTGACTCACACTTGAAAGAGAATCAAATGTGTTGAGAGCATGAATATAATTTATTTTCTTTCAAGGATACAACAGCCACAGATCTTCATGTGTCACGAAATGCATGTCTAACACAGTGAGCCTTCAGATTCGAACTATGTAGAAACGTCTTCCCGCACACGTTACACCGGAACGGCCTTTCGCCGGTGTGAGTACGAATGTGAGTCACGACGTTAGTACGTTTTGGTGTCTTATAGGTGCAGTAGGGACACAAGAATATCTTGAGGCCAGTAATCGAATCTCGGGCAGACCAAATCCCTCTATGGTCTCTCATGCAGCTCTGGGAAATACAAATTGAAAATAATCTATAGCGATGAAAAAACGAAGCCAGACCAATCTCAATGAAAAACTTGACCACAGACCAAACAATTACTTCTCAAAGGGACCAACCGAGGAAATGCTATCATCGAGAAGAAATTCAAGAGTCTACTAGCACGCAGGCCTTCCCAATGCACCTATAAAATGGGAAATCCCAAGAAGGATGCAGAAATGCTCATGGTTGCAGCCACTGAAACTGATCTTCAATGTTTTCTTCACTCATCTCAGCAGGCAGAACAACTGGCTTCTCCATTTTCCACTATTGAAGATGACCACTGGCCACACAGGTGACACTTGCATCTCCCATTGTCATGCGACCACAACACGTATCNCTACACGTATCATGAGTGCATAGGTTCTTTGCACAAAGCAGGAGTTACAGGATGTACACAATGCATCTTGAGCTTGCTCTCTTCCCTGATGTTACCATACTAAACCCATCAGCGATTGGGTCAATTTCTGACTCTGACAGCTACATTCAAGTAAAATTTCTTTGGTTTTAGTTCCTGACATAGAAGACAGAGCACAAGTCCTCTAAACTTAGGTGTTCCAAACTTTCGGCATTTCAGAAATCAAGTATAGCTGGATAAATGGACGAGTATAAGCTCTGAATTAATATCAGTAGGTCACACCATACATACACACAAGCTGAGTTCTGGCACTCTGCATCAAACTCTATTAAACATCTTAGCATAACTGAACAGCAAGCCTAAAGCCTATAGACAGCATTAATAAACAAGGACTGAAAAATCACCACTGTTTTGGAATTAATGTGAGGAATGTAATAACATATTAGGAAAGGTGATGTATACCCCTACTCACTAAAACAGTGGGATCACATTTTCGTTCCATCATATTGCCTCAGAAAACCAGGAATACAATAAAGACACAAATGAACAAAATCACTCTAAACCCAGACCCAACTAATGTACAGAGAGGCTTTGTAGAATAAATTATTAAGAATGATAGAGTTTGGAGACAAATCTTAACTTAAAAAAAGATGCTTTATTTACATGATGGCCATAATCATTTTTTGGGAAACTGGCGAATTGGCAGGTTATTGCATACAGATAAATGTGAAATAAATCTCTTCTGCAGTCATGCTGGCTTATGTCTGTGTGGCCTACATGACCAGTAATCTGATATCAGTAGAATACTTCTCTCATCAGCTGCCACACTGAAAGTCGAATACTGTCTTAGCCAAGCCTAGGGCTCAGTCATACAGTACTGCGAGCAAAATTTAATTTTTCCAGAAGCCTAGTGATGCAGAGCATCAAATTACACACTAACATTTCCTTCTAACACAGCCATGCCCACCAGAATACGCATCAAGTTGAGTCTATCTTTAATTCATAACTAAGCAATAAACACCAAAAAAAAAAACTTCCAACACCAAAAAACCTCCCAGACCACTGTCACATGGTCATGAATGCAACCAAAGGGGCAACTGACGCCAACCACAAAGAGGACATCGTGAGGCAAAAACGAGGACAGAAAATCAGAGGGAGTTCATACAAGCACAGCGAGGCGCTTGTTGATTCTTGAATCTCAAATGTTGCTGACATGTTCTTTCAATAACTTCTAAATGGAGCAACGAAGGAATATGGAACGTCAGCATACTCACCTCGGGTGCAATCTCGGGAGGAATGTTGGGAGGGACTTCGCTCGGATCAAACTCCTCTCCCTCCATCTGGTACGAGCTCTGACTGTTGTCGCCTTCTGTCGTCGACATCCCTTCTTCTGCCGTCCAGTAAGATTGGTCATCCTCCTACGGGATCATCGATTCCTTCCAGAATGCCATTTCACGATGCAATAAAAATTTAGAAAGTGGAGGGCACTAACGCGAACTGCTTCTATCTCCTCGATGTCGTCCTCCTCTGACTTCACACAGGCTGCTGGCTGGGAGTCGTCACTGTTCAATGCCTAACATGATGAAAATAACATCATCAGATGCATTCAGAAGGGTGAAAATCCATTAATGATTTTAGACCTAATGTACTATGTTGCCAGGCTACTACAAACAGCAAATAATGCACTCCTTCATTAGCTAAAATGGAGTTTTTGTTTCCCTATTTTTTCAAAGTGCAACTTTCAAAGTTGTATTTTGCAACTGGACTAAGAGAAACTGCATGGAAAGGTAATTTGATGACTTGATTAGATGAAGAAGTAGTGGCTGCCCCTTCTGTGACTATCTTTAAGTAGAAACTTCTTACAAAAGAAAAAATTAGTGCAGTAACTTGCAAGGAAAGTCATGAAAATGAATCTGCTGAGCATCACTGAATCCTCATTGAGAGTAAATAGCATTTAAGTTCAATCCACCACTAATGAGTGCATCAGGTCATACTGTCTTTTTCATAAAAGCATTCATGCCCTCATAACTGCATATTCTATTGCCTAAACAATATTTGTGAGGGGAATTTGGAGAAATGGGGGGCCAGGTAGAAGTGGTATTGGGAAGCGGAGGAGCAGGAATAAGAACTCAAGAAATAAAAAAAATCTACAAAAGACTTATTAGTAAATTGGTATACCTTAAGTGCTTAAGCAAAGGAAAACATGTCAAAGAGATGTAATAAAATATAATGACTACTTGATGGAGAGTCCTGCTTCACAACATATTAATCTGTCCACCTGCTATCTTACAGATTTTAGTGGATTGGCAGAAGGAATTTGTTGCATATGATTATACTCTGAGCATGCCCTTGTGTACATGGTTGGATGGTGAATCAACTATAGGAAAGGGAGGAAATTATGGTCAGATTCAGGACATGCTATATAATCTTGTACTTAGAAATAAAAAAGGGGGGGGGGAATATATATGCATATCTCACAAAATCTATTAGCTTTTATTCCCTCTCGGTCTTCTGGTTTCTCACTCACTCCTATCTCTTATCCCTAACTACTTTACATGGAGTAAATTTCATAGGTCATTAAAGCTACACATGCGATTGGGGTACACTTTGGAAGCTAGAAAAGAATGATGCCAATCAGAGTTACAAAAATTTAGTGGCAATGCAGCTCTTGAGTTTTAGGCCTTATGATTACACTTTTAGCACATTTTCCATAAGTTTCCTATTTCTTGTTTTATGTTAATTATTCCAAGATATTGAACGACTGCATTCTTGTCTAAAATAAAGAAGTTTTGAACAAAGATAATTGTAGCAGCAAATGTAAAGCAGTGACTCATTAAAAAGCATCAAGTCTCTAATTCCGCTTCATTAATAGACAGCATCATGAGGGACTGCATCTCAATAAGCCAGATAACATAGAGCAGGTCTCTTCCAAGTCAGCTTTACTGAAAACCATCTTTATCAGCAAAATAAGAAAGAACCTTAGTGAGTAAAACAAAAAAAAAGGGCCCACCCAGTTTTTCCATGCAACCTACCTGATTGGTAACATCAGGAGTGACTAATTCTGATCGAGGCCTCTTCTCGGGTCCAGGTGCCACTGACAGTGATGGCTTTGTCCCTTGCACCGACCCTACTCCACTGTCCACACCAACCGGTAGCCTGCGTTTCACTGGAGCAGTGTGACTAGAAGCAGATGGGCAAGGTTTCACTGAAGCACCAGCACCCAGGGGCC